ATCTCATAAGATGTGCCCCATTTCAATTTTCATTGAACGAAAAAGGTGAATGTTTCCGTCAAAATGTAATATTGTGCATTGGCAATATGAAAGAGATGAGGAGGAAAAAGGAAAACGAATGAAATAATGAAAGAGAAAGTAGAAGCAATGGGAGGCTTAATCAATACATCATCGGCTGATGAAGAAGAGATTTCATAATGACAGTAGAATATGATTGAGTTTCTGCATGTGACCTCAATATATTGGTGTACTTTTAGAAGTATTGATAAATCTTTATGTAGTGCCCCCGAATGATGGCTGCATCCTTGGAATATGTAATCCCATCTTCGATCAATAATTCTGAAATATTGGTTTTGGCTTGTATGAAGAACATCATTTCATCATCAATACCTGATGTCCCAAATTCATAAGAATAATAACTTATATGTATGATTTGGATAAGAGAAGGCGACTTTTCAATGTGTCATGCAAGATGTAAATTAAATCATTGATAATTTCAAATCATGAAAATACATTGTAGGCCAGTCTGGTTGGCTCTAATGAAGATATAGGCTAATTAAGAGTCACATATTATGCTCAAGCTAGTGTCAGCATCCTCTTTCAATCAAAACAGAAACTCGTTTTGATATTTTGTCAAATATTTTGAAAGGTGAAAGATTGTGGTTGTATTTGTATCATTTTAGTCATCATATGAACAACCATGTATAGGGGAAGCTTTCTGATATACCGTACAGTACATCTCTAAATGTCAAATTGTCAAAATGAGGATAAAAGGCATCAAAAGTAAACAGTTAATTAGCAGCAATTGCATCTTTCTGGCTCTTGTCTATTTTCTTGACCTTTCATGAGAACATATTAGACCTTCACAACTTACAATCATGTCTCCTTCTCTTTTCTATTGCATTTTTGACAGACATTCATTCCACTTTCATCACATTCATATCTACAACTAGCCAGATAAATTTTGTATTTCATTCATCAAAGAGATCACCATGGTTCATGTCTTCACTTGATCTCTGTCAGAGTAAAGGTTTGCAAATCAATATTGCTCTCATCTCTGCATGTCAGACTGCATCTGGGAAAACTCAATGGAGTACAGCCTGTCTCAAAAAGAGGAATGAATGAAAAATTGTTTAAGAGTTAAGACCACTTCCATACAATTCTTATCTGTTGCCATTAAGTTATATATACCTATGACTCATCTATCAATTTGACCTTCAAATTAAGAATCCTGAAATTACTTTGGTTTATTTATTTCTAACAAATGGCACTTCTGCGCCATGTTTGTAGCTAACATTTAAAAAGCATCCGATATTTGACAAAGAAATGTTCCCTTGGAAATGAAATAATCATATTTACAGTAGGAATAAACTATTCTAAAGAATTTTCCTATTTTTCTCTCAATGTAATCACTTTCAACTATGAAAACTCAAGGATAGTAAATATTTGTTGCATCATGTTTTTTTAAAGAGGGATGACCTTCCTGGATGCGGTCAGTCAGTCAAGAATGATGTGTTACTCCGAACAGACACCATCCCAATCAATACTGCCATATTACAAATAACACCATGCTTAATATGTCGCACAAACTCATCAATATTCCATCTTTTCATATTTCAATGAAGACATGTAGGCCATTTTTCAATTATACATTGAGCGTTGCAACCAGGAATAGTATCGGTACTTCATTTTTCTCCTAAAAATTTGAGTCTGTCTACTGTAAACATTTTTTTCTCATGTTTTGACTACGGTAGGCACTTTGCACAGGAGAAAATCTATTTGAAAGTAGGGCTTACATGAAGGAAAATTTAAAGAAAGTTTTACAAAAATCTTTACCCTTTTCCTCAGGCTAATTGAATTGAATGGCTTCTGATAATGTTTAGTCTTTCCTAGATACAAGTCGGCCAACAGGTCAATCTTTTTTATTCCTGAAAATTGTGAAATGTAAAAAGCTGACATTTATAAGTTGAAGCTATTGCTATTTTCTGATCCCACTCTCGCAGCGAGGACTCTCTAAATTGAAGCAAATTAATTTGACTTGCAATATTGTTGAGGCTCAAAGAGGGATGAAAATATTTCCTAGATTGTTGAAATTAAATCAGGGTCTGATTATCTTCCAACCATCACAGAAGTCACATGATGTAGTAGGGGAAAGAAACCTCATATCTTTCCCTTTTGTTGCATTCAATGTAGCAGTGTATTATTACATTCTGGTAAATTGAAAGATATTGGGTTCTCTCTTTTATCCTATTCATTATTGTTGATGAGAATGGTTTGAATAATCCTTTAATAGTTGGCAATTTATGACATTTCGTGCAGTTACTCTAGGTTGAGAAAATGGAAGTGCTTTTACTTTTAAGGTTTTGGGCATATAAAGTGGTACATGTGAAGAAGCATTTTACACTAAATTTTTATCAGTTGTAAGTGATTCTTTTCACGTATTTCAATAAATAATTTGCTGTTGTCAAAATTACGAACTAAATTGTGAAACAAGAGTTGATTGAAATGGATCAAAGAGAGCTGTGTTGTGGAGATTCCATCCAGCATATTTTTATAAAAAAACAGGAAGTTTTCAAAAGTAATTAGGACTTCAAACATTTAAGTCCTACATTTTATACCATTTCATCACGATTCACCAACAAGTTTGTCATCGAAACCCAGGGCAATATGGATAATGCAAATTGTGGTCTTCAGAGAGGCACAAAATCAATAGAAACCCCTTCACCAAACTCATCATCACAGGGATGATGTATATAAAGTATATTCATGGCATTGCCTGTGCCATTCAGGGCAATATCAGATGGGAGGAAAGGGCTAAAATCTTCATAAAAGTGGTTAAAAGTCAACTACACCTCTAGTTAACCAAACAGCCAGGTTTAGGTCAATATTGACGTGAGAGCTAGCTGGGCTGTGTTTGCTGATGGTCTCACAGCTTCCCATGGTGCAGTGACCACTAACAAAATATTGGAGTCTAAATGTTTGTAGTATCCTGGGCAGAAGCTCAATCTATATCGTATAAACTCTGCTTTATTGTGGTCCAGAATCCTCTCATGGAAAGCATATATGATATACTAGTAGCATTGTCCTATTCACACTCCGCTGGTGTTGACTTTAATAAAACTTTTAATCCAGGGTATATTCTGAGGTAAGAAACTGGGGAACCGGTGATGTTTATATTGTGCCATGTATATAATGTAGGATTGTATCATGAGAACTAAATTCAAGCATTGGCTTTTCCGGTCTGTACAAATGATGGATGGGGGAAAAAAGGGTATTTCCTCAGCTTTTTTGAGAAATACAAAAAGGCAGGATAAAGAGTAAAATGAAAGAATTGTAGAGAAATATATACAAAAAGGGTGCCATATTTGACCTAAATGCGGTGTGAAAAAATATATAACTGCAGTTAATCTTTCTTTCTCGCCCCCTTTTGTTTCCCTTTTTATTTTAAGAAAGAGATTGGTGATTGGATTGGAGAAAATTACACAAAGGGAGACAAAGAGTTTCTATAAACAATATGCATACAATTTGAATATGTTAGTGAACTGGTCAATTTGAAGCTTATGATGTTGATTTCAAAACAAATCAAACTCAAATTACACAGCTTTATATCTGTCAACAAAAAAATGATTAAGCATTGTGGATTATGTACTCAGCCTCACTCTTTAAACATGCTCTTGTGCTCCATGTTTAAAAAACATAGTGTAGATAATGCAATAAGTCCTAATAGTAGGCCTGTCTTCACTAGTTTGAGATTGCCAAATATCCCGCTATTTGAACTATCCCGATCGCAAACTATCCAGCTAATTTGCGTCTTCACCAGCCCAAAATTGCAATTAGCGGGATATTTGGCCGGGATTGTCATCCCAAGTTTGCAAAATATCCCACTATTTGGCAAAATATCCAGCTATTTGTCCTGTGCGTCCTCACCAAACCGAAGACTGGCACTATGCACTAGGGCCAAATAAAAAAAAAAAAACATGTTTAGCGTCCTGTTTTTTTTAAAAATAGGAAGAAGGAGGCCCTTTTTTTTTTCCCCTTTCAAAATGGCCACTCAAAATAGCCGCTCGGTATATTTTCCCTGACAGTCGGGCTATTTTTCAAGATGGCCGCCGACTTTTTTTAAAATATTTTTTTAAAATCAGAAATAGATCCATTTTAGCAGTGTTTTTCATAGGAAGCGGGCGGGGACGCTAAACATGTATATTTTTTTTAATGGCCTAACGCATGAGCAAAATATCTTGAGCTAATTTCTCAAGGTCGAGTTTCAAGTTTTGAGGTCGAATCTCGAGCTGATGAAGACACAATTTGTAACTTCAGGATTATTTCCCAAATCAGAAATAGCGGGCTATTTGGCAATCTCGAGATGATGAAGACGCAACCAGTCCTAATCTATGCCTCTATCTAGCTCTCAATTAGATTAGACCTCTGTGTTTGGTATCTGAATGAGACATGTGTTAGGCTAATGAGTAGAATTCACACAGGGGATGTCCATTGATAAAAAGGCAAAGTGGATTTGCATATTAACCACACTTCTGAAGAAGATCTCTATAAGTAGTATTAGCAGTGATACCAAGTACAATAGTGCTTAATCAGGAGTTATTAAACCTCCTCCTGCCCCCTTATCTATGTGCCTGCTTGCCTGATTTCGGAGTAAGCAGCATTAATAGGATTGATGATGGTTAGTTTTGACTTTCAGGAGGTGATGGTAATTTGAGACATATGCTTTGTTTTCATCGACAGTGTACCATTATTGTGTTCTCATCTGTTCTGAATCAGTGAATGAAAGAATTGTCATGGAAAGACTTTGATGATGGAAATATATATGCCCACTTTCCAGTCTACCACCATGTCATTTATATGTTCACCCTTGTTGTTGTCTTCAGAAGTTCAGGTGGGTCTCTTGTAACATTCTTGTAAGTTCGTAAGAATTTCAAGTTTTTTCTTACCATTAAGTACAAGGTCAGCTTGTCTTTGACATCGGCATTACCTATGATTGGTAAAGTTGTACTATCCCATCAAATTATTTGTGGCATCCTAGATTGTTGAAGCCCAACATATCAGCTAAGTTCGTGGTCTGTATGACCAGACTAGCTAGTTGTCTATCAGATTATGAGGTACTTGTCACCTCATTTGATTGGCAGGTCTCTGCCTTTACATCAGATAGCTGTGTACAGTTAGGAATCTAAGCTTTATTCTATTTCCTTTGTCTTCTTACTTCCATTCATGGTGATGCTATACCACTTAATTTTAGATGTAAACAATTCCAGTCACTGGACACTCAAGACATATAACTCCGCCACTTTGTTTCCCTTGTCTCATTGCCCCCCTCCTCTCTCTCACCATTGACCTACTACTACTACATAGGTCCATGCTCTTTCCTTCCAGTCAGCAGCATGCAGGAGTTTGATTAGAAGTAAACACGATTGCATAACACTTGAGTCTCTTTGGAGAAAAACATTTGTTGAGGAGACCAGGGAGTTGTAAATGGATTTGGGGAAAGTCAATAGGTGTTTAGTCCATACATCCATTCAGTTGTTTTGTGGAGCTACTTTGTCTTGCAGTTCTATTTCCTTGTCTGTCCATTCATCCATTCATTTTTTTGTGTCAGATCATCCATAAAACTTTTGCTTGAAGAATTGGCATTTTGTTAATTTTCACCTGGATTATCATTAATGTAAGTACAATGTTATCTCACTTATTCTGTTGTTATGTGGAAGTGGATTCACTGTCATAAGACAGAGAAAGATCTGATCTTTGTTTGCATGTGCCTTTTTACTGCCTCCATAATCAGGAGCTGTTTTTGATCTTTTAGTGATATCAGATTGATTTTGATGACTTTCCTCTCTCGTCTATTCTGGCATCTTGAAACCCACTTCGCTATAACCATGGACCTTGCTACAACCAAGTAATTGTTCTGAAAATAAAGACATTTCCCCGAACTTTCTGAAAGCTACCCTATTCTCAAGCTCTACTTGAGGTATCTATTGCATATTTGGAAGTACTATATAGGAAAGGATGATGTGAGGGAACGAGTGGGTTGACATCCTATCGCTTACTTGAGTATGAACTATGAAAGGGAGAGGGATATATACATGTACGTCATAAGTTTCTTGCTTTGTTTGAATGGGTATGTGTATTTACCAGAAGACTTTGTGGGCAGCTCTGTGATGTCATACATCTTGATGTATTTAGAGAAAAGTAAATCAAAGTGTGATTCTGTAGGCCTACATTTGTAAGGTTTGTGTTCCAAAGTGAAGAAAGTCGAACGAAGATAAGTCATAGAAGAACCTTTAGTTTTGGTGTTGGATTGAAAGACATTCATTCTAATAACCCAAAATAGTGAATTGCTATAATATCTGTAAGAACAACACAATTTCCATTGCATGTTTCAAATATTTTAACTACTTTGAAATAGATTATGTTTGATGTCACAATAGAATAAAATTTAGAAATAGGTAAAATGATGGTGCCTTTAAATTTGATTGCTTGTCAGTGACCTCGCACAAGGTAGTCAGCACACTCAGGAGTAAGTGGCTTGTTGTTGATATAAGAGAGCATGCAATGCACATGAATGATCGAGTACATGTCAACAACATATGGATCTAATTGTTGGACCAAAGTTCACCACTTGTTCCTTGTATGACCTTCATCCCCATTTCCTTCTATTACTATGCAAGGGCAGGTTTAAATTTGTTTGTATCCTGCAATTATGAAACAAAAAGGTCATGTATCAGCAACATATATAATTAATCATTTTTTGTGGCATTTTTCAATTGTCATACACTAATCTATAATTTATGATAAAAATGCCAGTTTTCAATATGTCAAGATTAGATTGTATTTGATAGTGGGATATTATTAAATTTTATGCAAGCTGCATTCAAGGGAGAATCGTTCATGTTTCTTCTTTATATTGAATTCCTCTAGCTTTCATAACATTATTGCAGCCAATACATTCATTTAACAAAATATAAAAAATAACACTTTCTAAAATATTTAAATGTGATTAAGATATTGAAGGGGAATGTTTGTTATTAGCCTTCTATCATTGTCAAGGACTTGTTTACTACTGTTTCCTGTTGACATCCAGATAACAGAGTTTATTGACATTCAGAATGGAAAGGGGTAGAGAGTAAAGAAAGGGAATGAGAACAAAAAGCTAGGCAGGAAAATGTGAAGGGTTGGCTATTTTGATCATGGGGGGGGGGGGCAGATTTGAGAGAGAGAGAGAGAGAGAGAGAGAGAGAGAGAGAGAGAGAGAACTGGGGGGGGGGGGGGGGATGGGGGCGGGTCCCTCAGATAGTTTGGATTCTAGATGTCTGTTTTCATTCTTTCTTGATGACCCCCTCACTCTTTCTCTCTCTCTCTCTCTCCCTCCCCCTCACTCTCTCTCCCCCTCACTCTCTCTCTCTCTCTCTATCTATCTATCTCTTCCTCTCTCTCTCTCTTTCTCTCTGAGAGAAATGAGAGTCTCACTCATGCCTTTATCATGGATAAGTGAATAGGAAGATTGTGGAGAAAAATAAATGACACCCCTGAAAGCCAGGCTAATTATGGTGTTTACTAGGTGCTGTACTGTAGCTTAGGTAGTTAGCAGGAGTCCCTTGAGATAACACAATATCAGCAAAGACCAGTCTTCCGCGAATGCCTGCAGTCCTCCAGGTGCTGGTTTAGCTTCATGTCGCAGTAGATACCCTGTCTAGAGTAATGTGATGAGATCAGCCTTGAGAAGCCAAGCATTACAGGTTGAATGCATGGGGCAGATGGGTTAGCAACTCACAAGTTGAGTTTGGAGGTTGAAAGCATGGACCTACTAGTACTACGAATGGTGACAATGAAGCTGCAGCTCTGGTGGCAGCTTGATACTCTTGTATACTTAGTGCTACCTTATTAGATCCTGATTGCAATATGTATAATTGAGTAAGATGTATGGTATCCAATAATTCATCATGTGGTGAGTAATTTACTAATGAATGTTGTGTTTTTTGTTGTTTTAACAGGACTCCTCTGCATTATATGAAAGGCTTCACATTCCCAGAAGTCTACTAGAAGCTTGGAGTAAGGACAAGTGTGAGGTCTGTGCCACACACGTCAACCAACTCAAGGGAGAGGCTGTTGCAATGGTCCAATCGCTTGAGGAAGCACAAGCACAGAACGATGCTGCAAACATCGGTCGTCTATCAGGTCTGGTAGGATCCCGTGACCTAGCGTCTCTTCAGCGGTACCTCTACGCCCACCACGCCCATGGCGCAGCCGCCGCCCAGCAGCACCATCGGTCCGCTAGGCAGCAGGTGAAAGGACAGCATACGACAGCAGCAGCTGCAGCTGTAGCAGCAGCTCGTAAGCAAGCATTGCCCCCTTCTCTACAGGCCCAGCAGTACTTGGAAGAAAGTCTTGGAGCATCATGGTGGACGCATCCAAAGCTTAGCTCCATGCTCTCATCAGCACACCAGGTAAGTTCTCATAGATCAAGAAGACACATAGAACTTAGAAGAGCACAAAAAAGCACCATGAACCATCTGTTTAGAAGTAAGAAGTTTTGGAAGAAAAAACGACTTATCGGGTACATTTTCCCTGACAGTCGGGCTATTTTTTCAAGATGGCCGCCGGCATTTTTTTTTTTTTTCCAATCAGAAATAGATCCGTTTTAGCAGAGTTTTTCTTCTTTTTGTCTTTAAAAGAAGAAAAAAAAGAAAAAAAAGAAGAAAAAAAAAAGGAGGCTGCCCCCACAAAGGAAGCAGGCGGGGACGCTAAACATGTATATTTTTTGTAATGGCCTTACACTGTACATTTATTGTCACCAGATATGGGCCAACTAAACTTCTAAAGTGTGTGCCCTATCTACATCTCCCTTGTCATAATGGGGTCACCATGCCCATTGCTCTATTCAAATCATAACAGGCATCCATGTGTAGTGTAAAACCTCTAATGAGTTGGATTAACGTGAGTCACTGTAATTAAAACAGGACTAAACAAACAGGCCAACATGCCAGGTGCAGAGTTGGGTCTAAAGATAGATTTGGGCCTTTGAGCAAAGTTTGCTTCTCAGATTTCCATTTCTTAGTGGAAGATGACCGACATGCAAACACTTCAAACTAAGTTTCTGTCATCATAAGAAAAAAAAATCTCCTTGGTTCTATGGCAACAGAAGATGAAGCTAGGTAGAATAGTTTTGTTTTAATAGATGACCTGTATGGTCCATATATTAATAATAGTTCGTCAGCCAAAGGGTCATGAACTCTTGTGTCATTAACCTGTTAACCTAAAGACATATTTAATTCATTATTTGTTGGGTGGTTTTAACCTTCATCTCAATAACTAAGGTCATTGACCATGTGTTGGTTGTCGACACATTTTTTATTGAACACAAGTGACTGAAATTACATGTTATTGACTAATTCAACGATATGCACACAAAAAATGATATAGTATCGCCTAAGTTGCCTGTCTTTCTTGCATCTTTCATGATGTAGGGCACTTTCATTCAATGGAAAAGAAAAAGTCAATATATTTTAACAAGTGAAATGAATGGAAAGAAAGGAAGATGTTTCTCTTGAAAAAGTAGAAATGTGTCATATGTTCTTTCATTAGGAATACCTCAATGTTTTAATTTATATTCAATAAATAAAGGGCTTTGTTTTAGAAATATGTACATTCTAGTCTTGAGTTAATTAGGAATAGAGCAGGAACTGCCAGGAAGCATTTTAGCAGTTGGCAGACTCATCTGGGAATATCTTGACTGAAATTTGAATTCTTTCATGAAATTTATGTTGAGGAGTTTGCATGGTAACTTTGGTCCATCTTCTCAACTTTGTATAATGCTAATGTAAGGGCTTTATGAGACAAATGTCTTCATACAGCCTTGTCTGCAACTGTAGAAATCTTTCTACCATGATGGCCAGTTGGCCACCAGTGCATTACCCTTGCACTACTCCAAACCAGCCAGTCATCTAGGCAGACAGGCAGGCTTGCATCCCCAGAGTGATCCAGTCAGGAAACCAGGCTGGGTTGAATGACATCCTTCTCTCCCATCTCCTTCTCAAAAACTCATCAAATACTAGCGCACTTGCAGGAAATAGAGAGTGAACCCACCTCTCAGTCTGAGCTCCTTGATTGCTCAGACATGGCACTCAAATCCATTGTGAATTGTTCTTCTTTTCTCTTTCCTCTCCATCGTAATGAGAAGAAAAGGAAGAATGGAAACCACCTCTATTCCCCGTACAACGAGAGAAGATTTGTAATTGTTTACGAGGGAGTCAGGTGTGACACTGTTTCACAAGGGAGAAGCACGCTCAGGTCACCAACGTAAATGTTTATGTTCGATTAACTTGCTCTGTCATGATCCAAGAGAAGTGGAGGATGTCTTTTGTGGGTCTGAAAAAGAAAAACGACCCGGCTTCTCTTTTCCTGTTTCTCTCTCCTTCTTACGAGAGGTTGTACATAGGATTGAGTTGCATCTTGCAAAATGAGTCATTAGTCTTTAGGGGAATGCTAGGACAAGTTAGAATGCCAATTTTCTATTTTAGCTCTTGGTGATTTGAAAGGAGGTTCTTAGATCAGTAGGACTGCTTTGTAGGTGGGAAGGTGATGCTAAACAGGGAATTCCTCAGAGAATCAAGATAAGAACCAGAAAGCATGAAAATATACACCAGCTTGATAAATGGCAAATTAATTTGTTTGGCCCCTTGTCATATTTTCTAATCAGAAATTGTGTCATAGATATGATTTCCTAGACTCAGTTTGGGATACTCTGACATTTCTGAACCTGTAAAATGAAAAAGATTTTAGACACGTTATTAAGTGACTCATGGTTGCAAATTGTATTATATTTACAAACAAATTTTTCTGTAATAAGTTTAAATCACTTAATTCTGTATTATTAATGTTTTTGTTTAATATTTTTGTTTAATATCAAATGAATATTAGACTGTCTATCTTATAAACCTACTTGCTGAATCAATATGCATGGAAATTTTCCAAATCTGATTTGCGGTAAGTGAGAAATTTGGACCATAACTCATTAAATGATATATCAGCTAGAAAACTTTATTTTTCCTCAGTCATCTCAGATAATATTTTGCTCATCCATCCTTCCAGACGTACCACCACTCCCCCATGTCCAACTAGCCTGCAGCTTTCTAACCATTTGTTATTAAGCAATAACTGGCAAAACATAACTTTGCATTCTATCACGTCAACAACAAAAGAAAATCAATTTGAAGAATACTAATAGTTGCCCCAGGCTGGAAATTCAGGCAGATATTTTATGCTGATCACCTTCCGTGGTTTGCAAATTTGTTAAATTGCTGATGGGCTAAGCGATTGGTGTAATGATAACAAACGGATGAGAAGAGACAGGAAGAAGAAATGGTGGCAGAATTACAGGGCAGTGGTTATGATTCATGTGTTTATGTGGTTAAGATGAGCTGGGGGCCATGATTATTGTTGCGATCATCCGCCATCAAAAGATGATGATGATGATGATGATACACCCCCAAGCACATCGTCTAGCCCCCTCGCTTGTGCAACAAGTGTGAGTGATGCGAGTCTAGAGGCAAATAGCTTACCTTATCCTCAGGTCATGTAACACTTTCCCTCATCAAGTAATAGCTAGGTGTATTCATAGACTTGCTTGTAGTAAAGTAGCAAATCACATCCCCAAAAGGTATGTCCATTTGCGATTACATTGCTTTGGGGTAAAATAATCAAAATTGATATTCATTTTGAATTCAATTTTTTTTCTTGAGTAAGGTAGTGATTCATGACCAAGTCTTGTCAAATTCATGAAATATATTGATGAAGGGGTTTTCCTTGGTTAGAATGCTGTAGAATATGATTTAAACAACGTGTATGGTAATGATGGTCATAGAATTAATTTCTTTGAAGTTTGGCTAAACATGTCAATGTCATACAGGTTTCTAGTGTATATTTCACTCTGTTTTGAAGGATTTTCATTCCATACCTAGTTATTGCATTTTGCATTTGATTTGTCATATCCAGGTTGTCCACTCTTCGCTGCCCCTCTTTGTCTAACAGAAGCTGACAAGTTTCTTTTTGTGCTGAGTCAGACAAATCTTAGACAAGTAGTACAGGTATCATGGATGATTTTTAGAAATATTCTGCATGTTCATGGATCTAAATATACATGGATGGTGAATATATTGCTTCCTCTTTAATAATGAAAGGTCATTGACATGTTTTAAAATTCAACCCAAATCAATTTTTTTTTTTAAACTGTTGACTTCTCTGAAAGTAACCCTCGTCTTAAACCTTTCTCTCTCTTTGTGTTGCTTCTGAAATGTAGAGAGATTCAAAGGAAATTGTGCCACTCGGATTTTCTCCTCTACCTCAAGTACTAGTATGGAGTTAGAGTACAGTGAATGTTTTCTTCTCTCTTTTATCATCAGTGTACAACCTTCCCTATGGGTCTATTATCACCTCTGGTAACACTGTTCTGAAGGGGGTCTTGATACAAAGGTGCTAAAAGTCCATTGGAAAAGCTTCCATTTAACCTCTATTCTTTCATTGTGACATACGTACTGTATGGGATGAGGAGCAAATACAGACTTTTATTTGGGTGAATATTCACATAATGGTTTTGAAGGGGTAAAGTACTCCATTTGCTTTGTTTGTTGTTATGGTGTCTGAGTTGTATTGTTCTCTTTTAATGGTGGTATAAAGTTAGGGATCACTGACCGAGAGTACCTCCTGGAAAGGACATACATTGAGGACTGCAGCAAACAAGTTGTATCATTTTTATGATTATAAAACCAGTGATTATCAGCAGCTCCCAAAGCCAACTCATCTCAAATCTGTTTATACTGTAAAAAATATAACATAATTCTGAATATTTTATTTTTTTTAGACAAAGTTTTTACAAACAATGGTTTGTCATATCTCATATATCACAAATAATGAACTAATTTTTAATTTCAAGAAAGAGATGGGCATTCCATTGTTAAATAAAAATAGATGCAATATTAGAACTAATTTCCAGAATAAAATGCTATTACAGCATTTGAAGGGTTAATGATGATCGTTCCTTCTGGACTCGTAGAGCTTTGATGAAGCAGAAAGATAGAAGACATAGAAAAATGAAATGATACAAAAAATGGTTCCATTTTTAACGCTATGATTAAATATCAATAACTTAAATAATTTATAATAAATTAGTTGTTATTTTAATAAAGAAAACCGGTTGGCTGTTACTAATTTGCCCTCTCTTACTCATGGACACCCCATGTACTCAAGGTTTTTCATTCTTTCTACCAAATATTGATAATATTGACTGGTGACCATGAATAACTCCTTGCTACTTTGAACATAACTGCTTGCTTCTTCCTCTTCCAGTAGAGCTAAGCTGCAAGTATTTCTCTGACTCATACATCCAGATAAAAATCTTGGGCAAGCCCTGATGGGAAAGCTTCCAACAGAATGCTTCTCATAATGATTC